CTGGCTATTTATACATATATCATATTCTTGGAGCTAGAGTACGTGTTCAGGCTAATGTACAGAATGGAGATTGACCTTGCCTCTGGAGGGAACTAATAACTGAGGCCTTGTCTATTTAAAATGCTTTCCTGAGCCTGACTAGAGTTTAGTCAAGCAGTTTCTAGGTAGGCAAAATCAGTTTGGTCCTTACAAGGGTAGGTGGGGTAAGGTTTCCCTTAGTAAATTTTTTAGGACAGCTCTTGCTAATCTCAGAGAATGAGCAGGTGCTTTTTTTTGTGATGGAAAATGATTCCTTGGCATAACTTTACTGGTCTTTTTCTTACCAATACAGTTTCAGTTTCCTGCCAACTTCTTTCTCATAAATTCTTGTAATCATCCTGTGTACTCAGAGAAAAATCTATTAAGATTATCTCTTTGGAATCCCCAAAAATGATCACCATAGCCTTCTGAGCTGGCCTCTCTGACTTGAATTTAACTGGCCCAGAAGATTCCCCCAGAAGCTGCTGTTTTGATTGGACCTTGCTCTCTGGATTGCATTATTAAATCTCAGATGTGTCTCCAGTTATGATTTGTTCCATAGCTTTGATCTTGATTAAGACTGATGGAAATCATCTCCTTAAGCTAGCTGGTCTTTGTACAACACTTTCTTTTAGCATCCTTCTTCTTCTTATGTTTTTTTCTGAAGGCACCCTAATGAGACTAAGACAAGTGTAATACTGAGAGAACGTGTCTGCAGTCATCAACTGATTGTAGTAACCACGCACTACCGTGGAGTCAATTCGGACTCATAGTGATGCTGTAGGATTGAGTAGAGCTGCTTCTTGATGGTTGCCAGGACTGTAAATCTTCATGGGAGCCGAGAGCCTCATCTTTCTCCCTCAGATTTGCTGTTGGATTTGAAATCACTGACGTTTCAATTAGCAACTCCAAGTGTAACCCACTGTGCCACTAGGGGCCCTTATAGTTTAAACACATTTTATTTGGAATAAACCTGTGCATGTATGAACTGGAACCCCGATTTACTCTTGTATACAAAGTCCTTAACTTCGGGTCTAACCCTTGGTTAAGCACTGAGTGAATTGCTTTCCTGTGCTCTATTAACCTTGATACTTTTCTGAATACATTTTCTTAAATCCACATGAGACCCATGAAGATATCTCAAATACAGACCTAACCTCCACCTCTTCTTTTCCTTCCACCACCTTTAGCTCCTCCTCTTCCTTCTTGTTATCATTATCACCATTGTCATCTTGCACCTTCATCACCATCATCTCTTATCATCTACAATAGGGATCAGCAAACTTTCTGTAAGTCGAGACAGTAGTATTTTTAGCTTTGTGAGGCATATGGTCTCTGTCATAATTACTCACTTTTACTGTTGTAATTAATAAAACAGCCACAGATGATTTGTAAACAACTGGACTTGCTGTGTTCTGACAACACCTTATTTACAAATGCAGGTGGGGAAACAAAGGGTAGAAGGGGGGAGGGAAAAGCAGGTGGAAGGTGAGATTTGGCCCCTGGGCTGTAGTTTGCTGAACTCTCTCATGCATCATGATGCAGGCTCTAGTAATAGCACTGCCTTCATCATCCAGAAAACTATATTTTTGGTGGTGGAGATCTGCAAAACTTGATTTCACTTCTCCCCTGGCCTCTTCTGTCTTGTTGCAAATAGTCTGTGTCATGGGAGACAGCAGAGTGTGTTGGGTGGAGAATCGACTTAGCAATTAGGAAAACTGAGTTGTGCCATTTGTACCTGGGGCAAGTCACTTTCCACTTTCCTTGAAGAAAATGAAGAGGTTGGGTAAAGATGACCTCTTGGATCTCTTTCTTTCCTTAAGGGTTAGCTTTATTACCCTTAGTTAGCCTGATGCTAAGTCTGTATCTGATATGTTTTAATGGATATCATGTGGATTTAAGAAAATGCACTCAGAAAAGTATCAAAATTGATAGGGCAGGTAAACGGAAATGGACCTCGAGAGAAGGTGCTACAGAGGGGAAACTTGGCAAAATTAGAAAATGAATTGTAAAAGTATAAACCAATCTGAAACCATCTAGAAATTTAACAGAGAGATGCTTAAGACTCAAAAATGAAAAGTTCTTAAGGCAGTAGAGAAAGGAAGACCGGGTTGTGAAGGAAGTTGGTAGCAACTTGCTTCATTATCCTCAGATGTGATTAGCTAAATCCCTTGCTCTCTCTCTTTTTAAAACTTTTTATTGTGATTTGAGTGAAGTTTTACAGACAAGATAAACCAATTTTACATTCAACAGATTATACATTGAGTTTCGTGTCAGTGAAACTGCTCCCTCCCGTGGTTCCTGTTTCCATGCCACCCACCTTCCCATCCCTTCTCAGTTTTGTCCTTAGTAAATGTTGCCCTTTTGATTTTGAATGATTGACCATCCCCTGGTGAGCAAACCTTATTAGTGTTGTGGTCCTTCCCTACATACGTATATCTATTTACTGCTTAGCTGAATATTGATTGGGTCACAAGGGTGAGTTCCTTTTCAGACCTGAAGGGTGGTCGAGAGTCATAGTCTCAGGTTCTTCCAGTCTCTTACTGATCAGTTGTTGTTGTTGTTGTTGCTGAGTGCCGGTGAGTCAGTTCCGACCCATAGAGACCCTGGAGAGGGTTTCCTAAGAGTGGCTGGTGAGCTTGAACCTCCGACCTTACAGTTCAAACTGACTTTGTAGTCCAGCACATTAACCCATAGCCTGTCTTTTAAATTCCTTGCTTTCTATTGAAATCTCTATAAAAACAAAACAACAGTTGCTGCGTGTTGACTCTACCTCATGTGTGTTAGAGTGGAATTGTGTTCCATAGAGTTTTCAATGGCTGACTCTTCCAAGGTAGATCTCCAGGGCTTTCTTTTGAGGCAGTTCTGAGTGAACTTGGACCTCCAACCTTTCAGTTAGCATCCAAGCACATTAACTGTTGGGGACTCCTTGAACTATGTTGTTGTTGTTGTTGAGTGCCTTCAAGTGGGTTCTTACTCATATCCATATTATATAGGGTTTCTGTGGCTGTAAATCTTTGTGGGAGCAGAAAGTCTCAGCTTTCATCTGCCAAGCCACTGGTGAGCTCCAGCGGCCCCTCTTGTTGTTTGCAGTCCAGTGCTTACCCCACAGAGCCACCATACTCCCCCACTGATGAGAACCAGTGGATACTTGGAGAATTTTTTTTTTTTAAAGAAGAAAAGACAATTGGTATCTTTGTTTAGTGAATAATCGTAGATAAAAAGAAGACCTAAGAAACTTTAAAAGTTGGCATAAATTTTAGTGGAAAATTAGTATGGTGCAAAGCCTTTTCCATGATGTATGTTGGATTATAGGTAAAAACAATTTTTTTTTGTGGAATGTCAGGAGAAAGGAGATGTGAGGGCCTTTGAAATGGTTTGGGAGACAAGGGCAACATGAGGGCTTAGAATAGGGACAGGCTGTTGATAGCCCAAATGGCACCTTTGTGTGACCTAGAAACAGGTGTTTCTTCCTCTTAGACATGCAGACCATGGGGGGTACTTGGCTGTGACATGGGTGGGTTTTGGTCCTTACTTGCCCTCTTGGTCAGTGAAGAAGCTGTGAAGCTGGGATTTGATATTACCTAGTTTGCAAGCAGATGCCATCTGGTTTGAGGTGAACCAAAAGAGGGACTAAATGGACAACTTCAAGAGGTGGATCGGATGTGAGAAGAAATAGGGAGCCATGGGAAGTTTCCATCTTGGAATAGGAGTGAAATCAAATGGAGAAAATGAACAGGCAGAGCTCACTTAGGTCTCTGTGACTCGATGGAGTCACTGGTTTAAATTCATTGAATAGTGTGAAGGTTGATACACAGTTTGCCCCTTGTCTAATTATTAATCTCAATTCTCTATTTATTTGTAATTACAGGGTACTGAAATGGCTAAATACTTTGAATCTTTGGTCAGAAATGACCCTTTCTTTGAAATTCCTGCCAAGAGGCACCTTGGCCTGGTGGTTTTTCGTCTAAAGGTAATGCCATCTTCTATAGTCTCCTGTGAACGACATTCTTCATTGTCACAGAGTTGGTGATTGTGTTGCTGGGTTTCTTGAAAATGTCAATGCCAGTTGGGCTCCTGGGGGTGCATGCTTCCAGCGCGTGTGATATAGAGTTTACTTCTCTTCATTTTTCATGCAGGGTCCTAACTGTCTCACAGAAAGTGTGCTAAAGGAAATTGCTAGATCTGGCCGTCTCTTCCTCATCCCGGCCACCATCCAGGACAAATTGATCATCCGTTTCACTGTGACATCCCAGTTTACCACCAGGGACGACATCCTGAGAGACTGGAACATCATTCGAGATGCTGCTACCCTCATCCTGAGCCAGCACTGTACTTCCCAACCTAGCCCTCGGGTTGGGAACCTCATCCCCCACACTAGAGCCATGGCCAATGGAATGCCCCTTCAGTCTGTCAATAGGGCAGGAGATGACCCAGTCCAGCCAAAAAAGATCATCAAGCAGCCTCCGCGTGTGGGAGCTTGTCCTAATAGAATGGAAGAAAACCATGATCTTGAAACTCTGATGGACCCACTTGATGACTGCTTTTTAGAAGAGGCCCCAGATGTCCCCAAGCACAAGCTGTCCTCTTTCCTGTTCAGTTACTTGTCTGTGCAGAATAAGAAGAAGACAGTGCGTTCCCTCAGTTGCAACAGTGTGCCCATGAGTGCTCAGAAGCCACTGACCTCAGATGGCTCCATGAAAAATGGAGGGCCCTCCAGGGCAAGAATTTTTTCCAGGCTACCAGAAGAGATGATGATGCTGAAGAAAAGTGCCTTCAAAAAATTAATCAAGTTCTACAGTGTCCCCAGTTTCCCTGAATGCAGCCCTCAATGTGGGTTTCAGCTGCCTTGTTGCCCTTTGCAGGCCATGGTTTAAGCCAGGGGTCTTCAGGTGGGGTCCGCAATGTGCTTCAGGGAGTCTGTGAACCCCTCAAAATTTTATGCCAAATTTGTGTGCTATGTGTGTGTGCATTTTCCTTAGGAAAGAGTCCATATTTTTTTATCAGATTCTCCTAGGGGTTCATACCCACTCACTACAGGCTACCAATGGAGGGTTTCAGCTAGTATGGCCCAGCAGTTTCTGGAAGGCTGGTCAGGAGAAGAGCTGAGGGTAGCATACTATCAGGCAGTTTCTTTGGTTCAGCTTGTGATGTGAAATGCAATGTCCAAATAAAAACTGTGCTTGTCTATCAAACAAAGCATATCCTTGTGTGAGTTCATTAACCTTTGGAACATTGATTAACTAACCTAAATGAAGGCTCTGGAATTTCTTAGGGTTGCCATAACAAGGCACAGGTAGACTTTGCTTTGTTGCATTTCCCTTTAGGGGCTTCAGAGTTTGCATCGCATGTTTTACAACGCTTCGCTGAGCAAGTGTTTGGCACTATTTTTCCAATAACGCGTGTTCACGTTATATCTCTGCATCACATATTGGTAGTTCTCATAATATTTAAAACTTTTTCATCATGTGACAATATGGTTTAATGGGCTGGACTACAGAGTCACTTTGAACTGCAAGGTTGGCAGTTCAAGCTCACCAGCTACTCCTCAGAAATCCTATTCAGGGTTGCTATGGGTCAGAACCAACTCAATAGCATCTAGCCACAACAACAACATTGTATGGTTAAGAGACTACAATATAGTATAAACATAACTTTTATATGCACTGGGAAACCAAAAAATTCATGTGACTTGAATTTTATTACAACATTCACTTTACTGTGGTGGTGTGGAATTGAACCCATAATCGAGATATGCCTATATCATAAAGTGGGTGGTTTAATAGGGACAATTTATTTCCATCCCCTGACCTTTGGTATTCCCTGGCATTTTTAGCTTATTGTTACAGCAAAACTCCATTGTCACATGGCTGTCTTCCCTCTATCTCTATCTTTGTGTCTCTTTTATAAAAAAAACAACATGATTGGATTGCTGTTGTTGTTGTTAAGTGCCATCGAGTTGGGTCGACCCATAGCGACCCTGTATAGGGTTTCTGAGGAGCAGCTGGTGAGCTTGAACCGCTGACCTTGCGGTTCAAACGTTTTTTCAGTCTGGCGCATTAACCTACAGCGCCAAGCTAGGACTCAGTGATTGGATTAGGTGCCACTTTATTTCAGTATGACTTCATGTTAACTGATAACATCTTCAAAGACCTTCTTTCCAAACAATGTCACTTTCACAGGTACCAGGGGATAGGACATCAGCATAGCTTCTTGGGGACACAATTTAATCCATGACACAGAACATGCCCTGGAACCTAACTGCATGTACCTTCTAGATCTGTTTTCCAGAGTTCAGAAGATTTGGATTTAACTGTGATAAGATGAGTTTGGGTATTGTTAAGAAGAAGGCAGTTCTTAGCATGTTCATAGCCTCTATTGTGAATTAATCACTGTTGTTTGCAGTTTATAAAGGAGGAAACTGAGGTCCCAGGTCACACAGCTTGTAAGTAGAGAAACCCATGTATGCTTGTCGTCAAAGCCCATGCTAATTTCCACCACACCATCCTGTTCAGTTGGCCCCTAGCTTGTTCTTCAGTACATTTAAATGTTTCCTCTCTTCATTAGCAACTTGTGCATTTCCCCCTTTTTTTTCCTGGACCATGTTGCCAAATAAAGCTGTTTCCACAGGCAGCTTGACTATGGTTAATTAGTTCATTTGTTGTTGTTGTTGTTGTTAGGTGCCATGGAGTTGGTACCGACCCATAGAGATCTTATGCTCAGCAGAAAGAAACACTGCCCGATCCTGGGCCAACCTCACTACTGTTGCCACGCTTGAGTCCATTGATGCTTCCAGTTGGCCAATTCATCTCATTGGGGGTCTTCCTCTTTTTCTCTGATCCTCCATCTTACCAAACATGATATCCTTCTCCAGCGACTGGTCCCTCCTGACAATATGTCCAAAGTATGAGAGATGAAGTTTGGCCATCTTGACCTCCAAGGAGCACTCTGGCTTCACTTCTTCCAAAACAGATCTATTGGTTCTTTTGGCAGCCCATGGAACTTTGAATATTCTCCAACAACACAACTCAAATACACCAATTCTTCTACAGTCTTCCCTATTCACAGTCTGGCTTTCACATGCATATGGGGTTATTGAAAATATCATGCCTTGGGTCAGGTGCACCTTAGTCCTCAAGCTGACATCTTTGCTCTTCAACACTTTAAAAAGGTCTTGTGCAGCAGATTTGCCTAATGCAATAAATACATCATTTGATTTCTTGACTGCTGCTTCCATGAGTGTTGATAGTTGATCCAAGAAGAATGAAGTCCTTGACAACTTCAATCTCTTCTCCGTTGATAAGAATGTTTGTTCATTGGTCCACTGGTGAGGATTTTTGTTTTCTTTACATTGAGATGTAATCCATAGCAAAGGCTGTGCTCTTTGATCTTCATCAGTAAATGTTTTAAGTCCTCTTCACTTTCAGCAAGCAAGGTTGTATCATCTGCATATCGCAGGTTGTTAATGAGTCTTCCTCCAATCCTGAGGCCACGCTTTTCTTCATATAACCCAGCTTCTCGTATTATTTGCTCAACATACAGGTTGAATAAGTATGGGGAAAGAATACAACCTTGTCACACACCTTTCCCAATTTTAAACCATCCAGGGTTCCCATGGTCTGTTCGAACAACTGCTTCATGGTCCAGGTACAAATTCCTCAGAAGCACAATTAAGTGTTCCAGAATACTCATACTTCTCAATGTTGTCCATAGCTTGTCATGATCCACACAATCGAAAGCCTTTGCATAGTCAATAAAGCACAGGTAAACATCTTTCTGATATTCTCTGCTTTCAGCCAAGATCCATCAGACATCAGCAATTAGTTCATAGGCTATAAAATAAATGTCGTCTAATTTCTGGTGGCACTTTTATAGGAAATAGCTCTGACATTGATTATATGAGGAGTTTATAGTTTTGTGTTGCCCATTTTTCTCTCTCAGTAGTTCCCAAACACTGTTGCATAATGGAATTACCTGGAGGTCTTCAAAAAAAATTTCTTATGCCTCTCTCCCACCTGCAGAAATTCTGACTTAATTGTTAGAGGAAATGTCTGGAATTTAGAAAACTGTTGTTGTTAGATGTTGTTGAGTTGGTATCGACTCATAGAGACACAAAATGAAACACTGACTGGTCCTTCACCATGCTCACAATTGTTACACTTGAGCCCAATGGTGCTGTCACTGTATCAGACAATGCTCCATTGCTATTCATAAGGCATCCAGTGGCTAACCATTCAAAATTAGTCCAGTGCTGGTGTGGCTCTGAGAGATTAATGTGCTGGACTTCAAAATTGGTTTAAACCACAAGGTTGGTGGTTCAAGCTCACCAACCGCTCCTTGGGAACCTTATACAGGGTTGCTATAGTTCAGAACCTACTTGATGGTGCTTAACAACAACAACAACCCTCTTCCTAGTCTCTGGTAGTTTGGAAGCTGAAATCTGTCCAACATGGGTGCCCCTGCTGTAATTTAAAATAATCTTGGTATAGCTCCCAATCTTGGTATAGCTCCCAACCTCAAAGCAGCACACATCACATCGCAATATAAAAACTGACAGACAAGTGGTGGAATATCTCCCTAGGTGATGCTAAGGTGCACCAGTGTTTGGGAGCACTGCTCTAGAGTCCCTTGGGGTGGTTGCTGATATTATTGTTAGCTAGTTGCTGTGGAATAGATTCCAATTCATGGACACCCCATGTGTGCAGAGTTGAGCAGCTCCATAGGGTTTTCAAGGCTGTGACTTTGGAAGCAAATCGCCATGCCTGTCTTCTGACGTGCCTCTGGGTGGGTGTGCACTGTCAATCTTTATGACTAATAGTTGAGTGTTTAATTAGTTGTGTGCCTTTAAGAATGCTATTCAACCTCCTTAGGGCTCAGTGTTTTCTTTTATCAAAGGCGTTTGACTAGATACTCTCTAGGATTGATTAGTTTTGCCAGAGTAAATCACAACAGGAGCTTCATGTAGTAAATAAGCTGCAGTGGTGGCTCAGTGTGAATGACTAAGAGTAAAGATGGCAAGTGAGCGCAACTGGTGTGCTGGCTTATTCCTGATCCTCCAAGACTGGATTATCAGTTAATAAGATAGTTTCTGGTTCTGAGGAAATGAATTGCACTAACTAAGCACACACAATGTAAATGTAACTTAGCATGCTGCTTTTCTATATATCCCTCCCTCCTCCACCCTCCACCCCCAATAGCATCAGCATCACCTGGGAATGTTTTAGAACTATAAATTCAAACTCTAATTTCAACTTTGGAGAATGAGATTCAGTGCTCTGTGTTTTAACAAGACTCCCAAGTGATTCTCATTGCTAGAGTTTGCCAACCACTGCTGCAGGGGAAACAGAAGACTTCGATAATCTCGTTGTTGTTGTTGTTAAGTACTATTGAGTCGGTTGCAACTCATATCTACCCTGTATAGAATTTCCAAGGAGCAGCCAGTGGGTTTGAACTGCTGAACTTGTGGTTCACAGTCCAGTGTTGATCCTACAGTACCACATCAGGAGGCTCATAATCTATTTAGCTTTTATTAATTTCATTTCTTTAGTCACATTTGAAAAGTTTGTCAGGGTTACCAGATATTTATCATGGTTGTTTGATAAATAGGCAACAAATAATTATCTCTTACGAGTCCTGTTATGGCATTGTAGGATAAGCACTGGGCTGTTAACTACAAGGTTGGTGGTTCAAACCCACCAGACTTTTCTTGGAAACCCTAGATACAGGGCCGCTATGAGTCAGAACTGACTTGACGGTAATTAACAACAACAACAACAACTGTGTGCCAAGAACTAGGGATATAATGATGGGCAAGACAGATGTACTTACTGCCTTCAGGTAGCTTAAGTTTCATAGAAGCATGAAATTTGAGCAAAGCGAAATTGATGCTATTTACGATTGTATTATCCCTATACACTACAATGTGAAGTTCCTGCGTCATCCAAGTCGACCTGTTGGCCAGGCAGACTACTCCTCTTGGATAGTGCTGAGTTGATGCTAAGTGACACTCCTTTCTTTCTTTTTTAAACTTTTTATTGTGAATTGTGTGAAAGTTTACAGAGCAGATCATCAGTTTTCCATTCACCAAAGCATACGCTTTGATTCATTACATAATT